AGAAATTCAAGAACCTGCTCGGAAGTGGCTTTCCTCAAAGACACTGACTTACAGAACCAAGAAGCAGAAATAAAGTACAGAGCGACTGAGGTTAGGGAGGGAGAAAGGCAAACAACACCTTATAGCCTTTGATCTTCCACACCCTGGGAACTGAACAGAGAAATGGCTGACTCAAGGGTTCCCATTGGCCCCTCCTCCACAGAGAGAACACTAAGGAATGATCCAACTGATCATCTGAAAGGGGATAAAGGCTGTGAGTGCCAGATATAAATTTAGACAACATGGCAATGGTATAGATACTCAGAATGACTCGATAAGATGGCTGCAATGGGATATACAAGGAACCGTGACTAAGGATAAAAGTCCTTTTTATGTAACTTGTTATGCAACAAATTCTGGCAAGAGCCACCTTTGTGCAATTCTGTATTCTTGGATGCAGGGCCATCTCTTACCTAGAGTGAATAAAGTATGTCAGATACACCTGTGGCTCTGACAGTCCTCCTTTGTTTCCCTGCCCCTCACAGCCATCTGCTCCTGGTTCCCATTACCACCCAGGGAAGATGCGCTAAAACTCAGCCTCAGGAGTAGGGAGTCAATTCCAGACATCAAGCCAAGTAAGAGCCAGAGCTTTAGAAAGATGCAAGCATAGCCAAACCCAAGCAGGAACCAGAGCTAGAACCAAGTTCGGAGGTAGAGTTTGATCCAGAGATATGGAGTCCTCAGAAATATGGAAAACCGGACTGAGACCACCCATTGCAGAGCAATTCCAGTGACAAGACAGGTTTTAGGAGCCAGAGAAGAAAAAGATGGGATGTCAGATGGAACTCAGCAATAAGTTTTATGTCCTGTGTATGCATCCCTTTCTCCCTATACCATTTATTTATTTAATGCCCAATGTCAATTTAGCAGGTCTGCTCACCCCTGTCCTTTTCTTGCCCCATATCCTTTAAAAAAAAAAAATACAGTTTTCACTTTTCTCTCGATCTTCTTGTTTTGTCTCTTTCCTTCCTTCTTTCTTCTTTCCTTTCTTCCTCTTTTTTTTTCGGGGGTGGGGTGGGGTGTATGTGTTATAATACAGGGTTTCTTTTTTAAGACAGGTGTATCAATCCTGGCTGTCCTGGACTCACTTTGTAGACCAGGCAGGCCTCAAACCCACAGAGATCTTGGATTAAAGGCACATGGCCCCACCGCCTGGCTTCATTTCTCTTTTATCGCTGGCAAAGAGCACTGAGTGCCCAGCCCAGGTTTGTACGTCTCTAGAGCTGCTGAGAGGTCTGGTAGTTCTAAGATACCTGACATCATATCTTCATCTCTTTTCCGTCTACCTTTAGCCAGCCTCCACTCCTCCCTGTCATACCTACACACACCCTTCAGTGCCCCTAAAGTTCCCTTCTCTATTTATATTCTCCCCTGGCCTGGCTAGTTTTGTGTCAATTTGACACAAGTTAGAGTTGTCTGAAAGGAGGGAACCTCAACTGAAAAAAAAAAAATGCCTCCATAGAATCCACCTGTAAGGCATTTTCTTAACTAGTGATTGATGTGGGAGGACCCAGCCCATGGTGAGTGGTACTACCCCTGAGCTGGTGGTCCTGGGTTCTATAAGAAAGAAGCTGAACAAACCATGAAGAACAAACCAGCAGGCAGCGCCTCTCCATGGCCTCTGCACCAGATCCTGTCTCCATGTTCCTGACCTGTTGGAGTTTCTGTCCTGATTTCCTTCAATGATGAACAGCGATGTAGAGTGTAAGCCAAATAAACCCTTCCCTCACCAACTTTGTTTTGGTCGAGGTGTTTCATATACTGCAAAAGATGTTCCAATGAGGGTTAAGAGATACGGTGATCTTTGTATAGAATGATAAGTCATTGGGAATTGGTTTACTATTATGTCCTTTAGCAGAGTAATAGTAGTTTCTTCCCTAGGGCCTGGGCTTATCTACCACAGGTTCATGGGCCTAATATTTGTATCAGGAATGGGTTTCAATCAGTGGAGTGAACCTTAAATCCAAGAAGAAAGTAGTTGGTTATTCCCATATTGTTCATGCCATTATTATACCAGTGGATGTGCCACTATTGCACAAGTGGACATGTCTTACCAAGTCAACCATTACTGTAGCCGGATAATATAAGTGATTGCTTTTCTACTCCAAGAGCATGCATAGCATCTTCCAGCATGGTGAAAGCTAGCCTATAGGCATGAAACTTCCAGGTGAATGCCATCTTGATTTCTCTGTGTTCATGTGACTCAACTAGGTAGTATCTTCAGCAATACGGACTTAGTGTCTGGTTATGGAAGGTAAAAAGCTTTGGCAATCATCTGTAATGTTTGGGAGGGTCTATGGAACTTCAATGGCCAGCAACTCCAAAAGAAGGAACCTATTCGTGGCACTGTACCCTGCTAGCCTGTGGGGTCTAGCAGGGGCATTATTATTCCATTATAGGGTGACTTCGTTTAAACTCTTTTACATATGTTTAATGTGCATAATACATATATATTTAGGAAGTTTCTGCAGTGGTAAGTTTCTATATGAATTTTTCAAAGTTTTTAGAATTATTTACCCCTTTCTCTTATTCTTTTCTCTACCCTGCCCTCCCATTACCCACCTCATTAAGCCCTTCCTGTTCCATTATTTTCCTTTAACCCTTTATACCACTGTGTTCTATCTCCCCTTCCCTGAAGTCCTCCCGTCCATATAGCACCTTAATAATTGATTAATCTCTATGTGCATTGAAGGAAGCACACATATCTGGAGATACAAAACTAACATTCACAAAGGAAAAAAACATAGGACATTTGTTTAGAAATAAAATGATTATTTCAAGATTCATCTACCTACCTGTGAATTTTAGTTTCATTTTTCTTAACAGATGAATAATATTCAATTTTTAACATACCATATTGTTGGGAAATATTATTTTCAGGTATGTGACTTTTGTTTACACTGCATTTGTTTAACTCTGTGAAGCTGTGTTACTGTGACTGTTTAAAACACCTGATGATCCTAATAAAGAGCTAAACAGCCAATAACAAGGCAGGAGCAAGGATAGGCGGGGCTAACAGGCAGAGAGTATAAGTAGAAGGAGAACTCTGGGAGGAAAGTTAGTGAGGAGCAAGAGAACAAGGAGAGGAGGCCATCAGGGACAAACCACCCAGCCACACAGCAAGCCATGGAGAAAGAACACAAGAAAGGTAAACAAAAATAGAGAAAGATAGAAGCCCAGAGGCAAAAGGTAGTTGGGATAATTTAAGAAAAGCTGGCAAGAAACAAGCCAAGCTAAGGCAGGGCATTCATAAGTAATAATAAGCCCCTGTGTGAATTATTTGGGAGCTGGGTGATAGAACCTCAAAAAGCCAAAAGAGCTTAACATCTCACAACACCACATATTCCCTATCTATTCATGGACATCTAGGTTGTTTCCCTTTCCTGACTCTTGTGATTAGAGACATAATGAATGTAGATGAGCAAGTTTCCCTGCAATAGGATACAGAGTTTTCCCATTTGTTTTTCTACTGCTGTAGAGACACCATGACCAAGGCAACTTATAAAAAAAAGCCTTTAATTGGGAGCTTGCTTACACTTCAGAGGGTGAATTCCTGACCATCACAACAGGAAGCATGGCGGTGGGCAGGCAGGCAGGCAGGCAGGCAGGATGTCAGGGTGCTGAGACAGTACTTCTGATCCACAAGTTGGGGGCAGAGATAGAAAGCCCCGACTTGGCATGGGCTTTTGAAACTTCAAGTGACACACCTCTTCCAGCAAGGCTACATTTCTAATACTTCCCCAAACACTTCAACTGGGGATCAAACATTTAAATATATGAGCCTCTGTGGGCCAATTCCATTTAAACCACCACCACAGAGTTCTTTGGGTATATGTGCAAGAGGGGTTTAGCTAATCATATAGTATCTCTATTTCTAGCTTTGAGAAGAATCTCCACACTGAAATCCATAGTGACTACACGTTTGCAGTGAATAACTGTTCCTTTCCTGTGCCAATAAGTTCATGTATATTCCCTACTTCCTCCTCCATCAGATTCGGGATACCAAATCTTACATTGAAATCTTTGATATACTGGAGTTGAGTTTTATGAAGAATGAAAGAGAAAAAAATCTAGTTTCATTCTTGCACATATCGTTAACCAGTTTTGCCAGCACCAGTGTGTGTTGTTGGTCTCTTTGCCAAAATAAGGTAACTGTAGAAGTATAGAATATTATTCTTAAGATTTTTTTTAAATCTATGTTTATGTATGAGTGCCTGCATGAATGTATGAGCGCCATGTGTATGCCTGTTGCCCTCAGAAGCCAGAAGAGGGTACTAAACCCTCTGTAATGCAGTTATAGACCATTAGGAGCCACCCTACTGATGCTAGGAACCAAACTCAGGACTTCTACAAGAATAACAAGTACTTTTGCAGCTGAGCCATGTCTCCAGGTTCCTAGATGTGGTATCACACAACAGTTTTATAAAACATTACAGGTAAAAGAAACTGGATCAGAGAATACACGAGATGTCTCAAAAATATTTCTTATACTTAATGTAAATCCTAAAATAAAAGGTTTAATTTACAAAAAAAGGAGACAATGTTAAAATGCATTTGGGAATAAACCTATAGCACTATATGCACATTATTATAAAAGAAACTGTCAAATTAATGTCTGCTTCTACCTTAAGAAACTAAAATGGGACAAACTAAACCCAAAGTAAATTTCAAAAAAGCTCAAAGTAGAAACTTTGATAGAATAGGTAAATAATAAAGAAATGTGTATAACTGACAAACTTCTAACTAGACTGATCAGAAAAAGAAAACAACACGAGTTTTTATTGTTGAAAAGAAGAAGCTAAAGAAGGAACATCAACAGTGATCTCAAAGGCAAAAACTATACTAAGAAATTTGACAGTAGTGATTTGAGCAATGGTTATTAATTGTTAAGGAAACAATACATGTTTTGGTTATAAATGCTTTACTTACTTGAATGAATAATTAACAAAAATTAAGGATACATTCGTATAGCACCTGTTCTCGTTCCAATAGCCAAGATTTTCTGGACTGGATCAAAGGCCAGTGCTGTAGGCTGATAAGGAAAACCATGCCGAACTGTCTGAAAGAGAGGAGTAGAAATAGCTGTCAGGGAAGGAAAGGTTAAAGTCAAAGCAAGACACTATTACATGACCACAAGGATGACTATAATTAGCTTTTAGATGACAAAATGGGCAAAATGGGCACGGAATAACCTCTGAAACATTGTTGGTGACAGTACAAAATAAATTATTTTGTAATCACTTTAGAAAATCATCATACAGTCAGGCAGTGGTGGCACACCTTTAATCCCAAGATTTTAGAGGCAGAGACATGTGGGTATCTGTGAGTTTTGGTCCAGCCTCTCTACAGAGTGAGTTCCAAGACAGGGTTACACAGAGAAACTTTGTCTTGAAAAGAAAAAAGACTATCTTATAATTTGTAAACAAACTAAACATATACCATTTATACCTGTACCAGGCCCTAGCAATTCCACTGCATATGCACCTCAGAAAATTTAAGGCATATGTCTACAAAATAATTTTTTAATTATGATACTAGCAGCTTTAATCATAATAGTAGAAAATCAGAAATATCCCAGATGCCTATCAATAAAAGAATTTTAAAATGTGATATAACCATGAAATGAAATACCATGTAACAGTAAAAAGGTATTACTAATAGATTCGGGAATATGAATGATTATAAAAGTATTGTGACTAATGCATTGCAATTTTGTGTCCTACTTGTTTCTCTCCCACCTAATTTTATTTTCTACCACTGTCCTGCAGTTTAACAAATCAAATAATTTGTGATGATAAAAATTCATCCGTCCTATCACCCTTTAATAACTTCCTTTCCAGATTTAATTATTTTTATTCTTTTCTGATATTTGATTTGGTTCCTTTACTTGATGTATCTTAACAGTTTTTATGCTGCTACTAACTTTTAGGAAAAGCATTTTCTTTTCTTCACCCCCCCACCCCATTACACAGGCACATGTTCTTACTAAATGCCTATCTCCCCAATAAAGCATAGTTACTTGCATTGTGCTATTGCTACTCTCTTATTCTGCCACACAAATTGGTTACTCCCTGGGACTGAAATTGTTTTCTTAACTTGCTTAGTTTTTATCTGCTTGCTATTAATTCAATGTCAAATTCTTCCCTCAATTGCCCAAATTTCATTTTAGTGATAAATATAAGGTACATATATTTAGTGAGGTAAAGTCAGACAATCAAATGGCAGGCAAACATCCTGTAGTGACAAAAACAAACCAACTAGCCATGCTGGGCTCATGAGCAGAAGAAGAATGGGCTGGAGACAAAAGACCCTGAGAGATAAAATACTACTCTTACTACGGTAATAATACCAAAGAAAACCCATTACATTGTACAACTTATGTAATTTATGTTATCTTAAGCATTGTAAAGGAAAATATTAATGAACATAAGTATGAAATGCTAAATAAGATATTAGTAATCTAATCCATTAATAATGAATGTATTTCAAATAGTTTATTACAGAAATAGAAGTATGATGTCATATATGATGCATCATCTTTAAGTATATCTGGAGTATATAGACTACATGCATATACTTCCTATATCTTTATACATATCTGACATCAAAATTAACTTACTTAACCATTTTCCTTCCTTAAATTTTGATCCCTACAGGTCTGAGCCTCAAACTGTAAGAACTTCTATCTATTCACAAAATAATTATATGTATGATATAGAGAAATGAACTTTGTCATATAAGTCTCTTTACAAATGGTATTTCTCAAAAGGAATCTTATGAGCATGCTGAACCTGATGACACTATAACCTCTGTGAGCTTTAGTTTGTGATGCCGACTGGTTCTTCAGATTAATTGCATAATCTCCTTATAATATTTAAATAGATACATTATTGTTGGAAAAAGTAAAAATAAAAATGAATTTTCTCTATAAAGCCAAAAGGTCATTGGCACTATATTTCTTTTGTCTAGAAAAGAAAAAGAAATTTTAGTGTGTCTCTGTTGGATTTAAACAAAAGCTTTGAGAGCAGAAGATGGTGAACATCGCCCGGCCACAGTTGGCTAGAATCTGTGGAGGGTAAACTGCGAATAGTTGGGAAACTATTTTAGTTTCAATAAGAGGCTGAGGATGGCAGGAAATCTCTAGTTTCAGAAACAAAGTGGAATTAGAAACTTGCGAGGCAATACAGGAGAAAAGTCCAGAAACTGTCCTGGAGAGAGAAGCCGGCTCAGAGAGCCAGAGCAACTGCAGATGGCAGCAAAAGCCAGGGAGCCTGAGAAATCTGCAGTGTGCTCTGAACACAGACATCTTAAAGGGAGAGGAGACAAAGACTATGTCAACTGCACTTAGCAGAGGAATGAGATACCAAGAAAACCCTCTCCTCTTTGTCCAAGATGGGGGAAGCATCCAAACCATTTTCTAAAGAGACCAGTTTAGTGGGCAGCTTGGTAACTCTCCCTGAACCATGCTCCTAGTACATAGAACAAGTATTGTTAGTTTAAAATCTAAAACTAATTCCATAGTACTTTCCTTCAATGAGAGTGAATTTGAAAATTCAAAAAAACAAGGCTAGAGAGATGGCTCATTGGTCAAGAGTACTGGTTGCTCTTCCAGATATCCTGGGTTCAATTCCCAGCAATCACATGGCAGCTCAAAACTGTCTGTAACTCTAGTCCTAGCAGATCCAATGCCCTCTTCTGGCTTCCATGGCACCAGGCATGTACATGATACACATATACACATGCAGGCAAAATGCTTATACACATAAAATATTCAACATGTATAAAATAAAATAATTAAAAATCAAAATATAGAACTTTAAAAAGAATAATATTAAATCTGTATTTAAAAAAAGAGAGAAGGCATAAATAGGCCAGTCAAGGTGGAACATGTCTTTAATTACGGCACTTGGGACACTGGGGCAGGCAGCTTCTTCATGAGTTCAAAGCCAGTCTGCTCTACATGGTGAGTTCCATGTTATCCAGAACTACAAGTGAGATACTGTCTCCAAAACAAGATCAAAAAATCAGAAGAAGAGGCACATTAATAAACTCCTGAATGGATTAAAAAAGAACTCAAGACAACAACATAAATGAAAAAAGGAAGTCGATATAAAAAAATTAGAATTCAATGGAGAGAGAAATATTGAAAAAACTGTAAATGGAAAGTTCAATTAAGTCAAATGATAAACTCAGTGGAAAGTCTTGCCTATACAATGAATCAAGTGGGGAAAAGACTATCATAACCAAGTAGATGAATTAGAATATTCTGACAATTTTTAAAAATATAAGTGGGGCATATGAGATTTATGGAACATCATTTTAAAAGCCAAGCTTATGAGTTATGCTCATAACATAGATGAAGAGAAATATTATGCTAAAGGGATAGTGTAGCAGAAGATTTTTCCTAACATAGGGAAAGAGATGGCCACCAGGCTAGAGGATGCATTTAGACAGTCGGACAGAACCAGAAATTAACCTCCCATGTCATATTACAGTTAAAACACTACGTAAACACAACAAAGAAAGTAAATCGAAAGCTGCAAGAGAAAAACACCAAGTCACATATCCGCAAACCTGTCAGAATAAGAGGAGGTTTCTCAATAGAAAGTCTAAAAGCTAGGAGGGCATGGAATGATCAAACAAATAACTGCCAGGGCAGGTTACACTACATAGCAAAGCTGTCCTTCTTAATGGAAGGAGAAATAAAATGTTTAACTATAGACACAAAGTAAAGGAATTTATGACCATCACGCCAGAACCACAGAAGACCCTCAGAGGAATCCTATATACGATAGAGAAAATATAGAACATCCATGAAGCCTCAGGAAAGAATACAGTGTACGGGATAGAGAAATGTGAAAGGAACAAACAGTACAAACAATAGAACAAAGGACTAAATGCTCGCCTTTAAATTATTGCTGCATATGTTAATGCTTTCAATCTCTTAATCAAAAGACATACTAGGAGATTGGATTTTAAAGCAGAACCATCTGTTCATTGCCTATAAGAACTCACTTCGTTGTCACATACAGACAGCTTTAGAGCAAAGGCTGGAAGGATGATACACAGAGAAACCCTGTCTCAAAAACTCAAAGAAAATATTTTTAAAAAATAATAATGTAAGCCTTGAAATTCTGGGGACTCAGAGAAATGGCTCAGCAGTTAAGAGCACTTGCTGTCAAACAAGACCTGAGTTTGGTTCCCAGCACCCATTTTTAAAAACTCTAACCTATGTAACTCCAGCTCCAGGGGCTTCAACACCCTCTTCAGGTCTCTTTGGATACCTTCATACATGTACGCAAGCCCCCACATAGCCATATACATTTAAATAAAAATTAAATCAATCTTAGAATTCTAAAACTATTAGTGGGAAACACCTCAGATATAAACAGAGGCAAAATCTTTCTAGAATGTACTCTGTTTCAATCTGCCTTCTGTTAATGTGATAAACACAATGACCAAAAGCATCTTGGAGGAAACAGTTTATTCAGCTTCCTTCCACTTCCAACCCCAACCCATCATTGAGGGAAATCAGGGCAGAGCAGAAACTCAAGCAGGAGCAGAGGCTGGAACCATAGAGGAAAAGTACTTAGAGGCTAGCTCCCACTGTGCTCACTTGCTTCTGCTCAGCTAGCTTTCTTATACAATTCAGGACTCTCTGCCTCTCACAGTGGTCTGAACCATACTACATCAATTAGTAATCAAGAAAATGACCTACAGACAACCCACAAGTCAATACGATGGAGACAATGCCCTTATTGAAACTCCCTTAGATAACTCTAGGCTATGTCAAGTTGATAGTTGAAACTAAGTGGAAGAGTCTCTAATTGCTCAGGAAATACTACCAAGAACTGAAAATGAGTTTACATGGAGTTAAAAAGCTTCTTCACAGTAAAATAAACAGTTAATTGAATACAACCTTCCAAACAGGAGACAAATCTTGATATCTATACATCTGTCAGAGGATTAATATCTAGGATATATAAAGAACTCATAAAAACAAAACAATAAAAAGCTAATTAATAAATGGGGGATAACATAAACAGATAGTTCTCAATT